CCCCAGTGTAGACCAGCCCTTTCAATGATATGTCTATTATTATTCTTGGATCATTTCCCAAATGCCTGTTAAGTTTTAGTGAACTTGAAAGATTCCGTGATAAAGGGTATAATTTGTAAGTTGAACATGATTATGCTAGTTTTGGTCTTTTCATGGATGCATGAACTCACCATCAGGGTCTTTTGGGATCTCTCCACCATGGTTCTCATTTCACGGTTCTCATTCCAATTTGCAGGCACCTTGCATGGTACCTAGAAGAGGGCACTGTGCCTTCTCCGGCTTGTGAAATTTTCCAACCTCCGTGGAAAACCAGCTCCAGAAATGATGTCAGCCAAGACAACAGCTCATTTTATCAAACCTTTTAGGTTTCCTTTTCCTGTGTTAAAATGACCCAGGAGGGAACTTTGTCCCTTGCTGTGACATGGCGGCAAGGCAGGCAGCACTAGCAGGAGCCAGAAATCAACAGAAAATGTAGGACCGTTTCCCATGGATCTCAGCATGTCTCTGCTGCCTCGCAGAACTGCCTTGCAGCATGAGTCGTCTCCCTGCCTTTCTACCTTGTGTGGTCACTATACCTTCTCTTTGCATCTTAAACAAGCAATGTAGGGCTGAGCTATGACTGCTCAGGTTAGCAGCAACTCACAAGGTTTTTGCATTGTAACTTGCACTGAGAAAGGACCGGGATAGGTTCAGTTGTTACTCCTGAGCCTTTTCCGCTTTACTCTAGCCATGTCCACTGCCTGTGTGGAGCAGCAGAGCTCATGTAATGCAGAAGAGGCTTGGCTGCAGTGGGATGTTACTAGCTATTCCCCTCCATGGACCCTACCCGCTTTCCAATCCCAGAGCCTCTCCACCATACTTCAGAGGAGAATTGCGGCCTAAAATCAGGCCCTTCCACCCAGCACCATATTTTAAACTAAATGAACCTTCCCAACGTGAACACACACCCTTTTTTTGTTTTGTTTTGTTTTATTTGGAAAATGCCCAACCAGGCTTTGGAAAACCCTGCTCAAGTGGAATGTGTGAAGCTCAATTTTTTTTTTAATGACTCTTGATGGTAACTTTTTCGGTGTTTCAGATTTACAAAAAGTTTTAGACCTTCACTGTAAGGTACGGTGGGCCCTATGTCAGGCAAGTTCCCTTCTTTGCTGGGTCTTCTGCCTATAGATTTCCACTCCCATATGGAGCAGTGGATCTGTGAGAGTTCGGCCTCTCCCCAGTCCTTGGCAGTAGTTCATTTTTCCTGCACTTGACTGGAAAACCAGTGAGAAAATACTAAATTGGAATGGTGCTGGGGAAAGGCAATTGCCCCCTTGGAGCTAAGATCAGCAGCAATGTCAGTAGGGTAGGTGGACCTGGAGGATATGCACATCAGGTCTGCTAGAGCAATGTGACTGGCACATTGAAGTATACTGCAACGAGTGAATTTCAGAATACTTGGGCCAGATAGTCCCCACCCCTCCAAAAGGGGTGGGGGGGGAGGAATACAAAGCAAAGTCTCTCTCTCTCTCTCTCATGTCCACTGTTTTAACCGTGTTCCAGCTGTCTCCACCCCTTCAGCCCAACCAGATACTTCTCCCATGCTGTTGACACCACCCTAACCTTCCCTTGGCCCCTAAATCCCTTTCCCCTTCCACTAATTTTATCCCTTAAGCCTAGACTCCTTTTCCCTTACTTCTACAGTCAACAAAATTCTCCAACAACCTCCAAATTTCCTGGTGTGGGTGGGTCTCAGGTCAGTCATCTCCCTGATGTTCTAGTCAAATCTGGCATGCTCTTGATTTTTCTCTGGGTCAGAAGTCCATGACATTAACCCTCTCCCTACAACCACCCACCTCTTCCAGCCTCGGAATCTTCTATAAATTAAGATGACCCCTGCTAGTCCAATGTACAAGGCAAAATGTATTGAGATTGCAGATGAGTGGCTGCCTCACAGCACTCCCTGGTGGCCTTAGGGCAGCACTGCACACAGCCTGCCACCTTAGTTTCCCCTCTTGCATCCCCAAATAAACTCCACAGAGGGTTCTTCCAGTCCAATCACAACAACCCTCCTTAAGATCTGATTTATTAACTGAAAGTGCAAAAGTCTTCCCTAAAGCTGGGTACAGCCCAAACGCCCCAGGTCTGGTCAGTTCTTCCTGCCTTAGCAGGCTATGCCCAGTCCTTCCTAGTTGGAGAAATTCCCGTGGTCTTAGGTTAGGATCTTCCCTGTGGGAGTCTCTCTCTAACACTCTCTGCAGTCTCTCTACAGCCCCCTGGGCTTTGTCCTTACTGCAGCTCCCTTCTGCTCTCTGTTGTAAAATGCCTGATCCCACCCCCCATTCTGTAGACAGGATTGGCGTGGCCCCAAGCACTCCAGCTCAGTGATCTTCAGAGGTACATCAACAAAGGAGATGTGGTAGGGCCCAGCTAGAGGGGAAGGGATTGTTATCTAAACACTTCTGTGTCTGATAAGGGTTTACATTTGGTTCTCTTTGACATGTGGGTTGAGGTTTTGTGATGTTTTTAAGTGGTTTGCCCACTTAAAGATAGAGAGATGTAGTTTTATAGTACTCCATTACTATATATGGAGATATACCTATCTCATAGAGCTAGAAAGGACCTTGGAATGTCATTGAGTCCCATCCCATCCCCTGCCTTCACAGCAGGACCAAGTACCATCCCTGACAGATTTTTGCCCCAGATCCCTAAATGGCCCTTTCAAGGATTGAACTCACAACCCTGGGTTTAGCAAGCCAATGCTCAAATCACTGAGCTATCCCTCCCCCACAACAAAGCAGACTTGCTTTCAGATGTTTCAAAACAGGACTCCATCTTTTGCAGTCCTCAATTATATGACACAGCTAAATAAGAAAGGGATCAATGTGTGAAATACAAGCCTGCAAGGCGTACTTTGATCCATATGCTCTGAGTGTTCCCCAAGGTATGAACATGGGATGAAGATGGCCTTAAACTTTAAACATAGGCTATGCGCTGATATGGGCCTAAATATTGAAGCTGATCTCATGGGAGATACCAATGGGTTAAATACCCTTACATCACATGAGAAGGTTTGATAGTTAAGCATCAGGGGAAACAAACCAAAGACAGAGCAACTCATGCAACGACTAGCTGGAAATTGCAAAGTCAGATAAACTTTGTCAAAATCCCCAGACAAAATGTCATTAAGATACAATTAAGGTTATAGACAGAGACCAATTCCCAGGCAAAAAAAAGAACTTCATTAAGATACACTCAAGTTGTAAACACACACATTAGTTACAGTCAAACTATATAATTAGAACACTGTAGTTATTAAAATGATCAATGTTTGGAAATTCAAAGTTAAGGTTCAGGTTACTAAAATAAATATTTGAATGTCAGGAAATTCATAGTTCTGTTTCCACAAACATACTCTGACCCCATAATACTGCCCACTATCCACTTGCCTTCTATTGTGATGTTCTGAATTATTTCAGAGTGTTACAGAGCCATGCGGTGTTTCATTCACTATACGTTTGGTGGGTAGAGGAGCCAATGAAATGGTTGCATTTATAGAGTGTTATTTCTGGACTGCGGGGGAATGGCTAAGACACAAGATGCTAGTGTTTCTTGCTGTCAAGACGTGGGAGCTGAACAAGGGTCTGTATCTGAGTCAATGGGTCGCTTGGGACATACAACAGGAAGATGAGATACATGGATCTGTGTCATTAGCAGTTGGTAGTTCCAATACAAACTAAAGTTAAATTAATACAGCTACAGCACTGAGACAATTCTGATAGTTCTGGTTCTCTATATCTTTGCAGTACAATCTGGTCAATACTGGGAAATACTGATGGTAGCATAAATTGGCAGGATATGAGAGATTATAGGTAAATATACCAACTAGATTATATTTATTGAAATGACGTAAGAGTTACTGTACGTTTATCCACTGCAGTTGCATTTTCTACTTCATGAACCACATTTTTATAGAAATGCTGATAACTGCTAAACACTAGATCCAGTCAGAAAATGTTCATCGAAACAGTTTTTCAATGGAAAATTCTGTTTACGTCAAAAAGTTTTTTAGTTTTTGAATTTTGTTTCCCGGGGAATTTAGAAATGATTGGTTTAGTTCCGTTGCAGAACAGAAAATCCAGTTCCTTCCCAGCTTTACTAAATACATTGAAAACAAGTGGAGCACATACTGGCATAGGAGAGCTGCATATCTAAAATAAATAATAAGTGGAGTGCTAGATTTCTTCTATGAAGGGCAATTTCTTTTCATGTTACCCTATTGGTCACAGTCCTGGAAAGGACACATATCTAATGAGGCTATGCCAAACAATACCTTATTACGAAAAGTGTCTCATGTTAGAATGACATGCAATATAAGTAACGACTTGATGAGATCCTTGCAACTACATTTAATTTTCAGGGCTTTTAATGGGAAATGGAGGTTTGAGTTGTTGTTTCATTCAATCACACTTTTCATTATGATTTATCAAGATGAAGTTGTAAACGTTATTTTTTTCTTTTTAGCTTCTATAGTGATTGGGAAATGGTGGTGTGAAATGGAGCCCTGCTTAGAGGGAGAAGAATGCAAGACATTACCCGATAATTCTGGATGGATGTGTGCAACTGGCAATAAAATCAAGACCACCAGAGTAAGTCATGTTTCCATTTGTATCGACTGAAAAAGAATCACTTGCCCTTGCTCACCCTTCTACAGTCACCAGGAATGCATCTTGCTTTTTTATAGAAGGTTGGCTAGCTGCTTTGTCAACAGCCAGCACCCTTACCCTCTCCTTACATCAGTCAAAGGTTTACAGATTCAGAGATCTCAGCTGAGCCCGGGTTTTCTAACTGGCATCTCAGCACTGTGTACCTTTCTGAACGTCATTGCCTCCAAGGAATAAAATAGCCTATCAGCAGGCTCGTTTTGGGTGGTGAAAGATACAATTATGAAAGCCAGGGGTTTATAGGAATGAGATTTTGCTGGCTAGTACTTCTTAGTAATAGCTAATTTCTGAGTCCATGGCTTTTATTTCATCTACAGTAGACTTAGTTAAAATGAAAGCTCATTCTGCCCCCAGTGTGCAGTGCAGAAAGGCGCAAACACATGGGAAAAGACATGGTGGTGCTGTGCAGCTGGGCAACACTGGCTTTCCCTCCTCCATTCAGTCATCTCCCAGTCACCCCATTGGGAAATGAGCTCTGGTTGGATGAGGAAGCAGGCGAACATCTACATTCAGGAGCTGTTGGAAGGCATATGAATGAAGAGATCATCCACCAGGGCTTGGCAAAAAATGTTGTCCTACAAGTTTGTTAATTGAAAAAGGAAACATTTGCAGAAATGTTTTTGACTTCATCTAAATGTTCCTGCACCTTAAAAAGGGAGTTAGTCAATCATTCGCCCTCTCCCAGAAGAAAGAGAAAAATGGGGAAGGAACTATGATTCACTGAGTCCCAATTTCTTCCTGGATCTCTTTGTGGAGTGGCCGAGCCATGTAGCACCGCATGTTTATTGCTTGTCTGTTCTAAATTGAAATAGCACTTAGAGATTAGGCCATATAGCATAAAAACAATTACATGTCCTAGTAACTCTTTCCCTAATGAATCACAAATTTCAGAAAGGGCAAATATTTAACAAGTAAAGTGAGGAGAAATTTAAAACTTTTGTTATTTACATTATTATTGTTCTTGTGCTAGATTTTTAATGTAACACCCTACGGTAATCTTGCATTCTGCCTTGCAAATATATAATTTAGGAATCTTATTAGTTTTTATATGAATTTGTAATTTCTTAAGCACCACCATCCAACAGCATCCTGTGAACCAAGCTGTAGGTAATAGTCAATATCTAGTAATAATAGTTAGAAACTTAGCAGTGAAACTCATTAATATTCAGATGTGCAATCCAATTTAATCAGTATGGATTATTGTATTTCATTTAAATTGAAAACCTACAGGTACTCAGAAATGAAAAAAAATATGTCTGCCATGTACCCAGAGGAGTTATTTTAATTAGCTTGTGTAGGGTAAGCTTCTAGAAGCATTTTGTTTTGTTACCTTGAAACATTGTTACAGAACAGAATTGATGAAGGCAAAGTGGCAAAACGCTTAATAACTATCTCTTAAATCTCGAAGGCAGAAATCTTGCCTATACTTTTGGATTAGTTAAACTTTGCTTGAAGTCACCTACTTGATCCTTAAATGGCAAAATAAAGCAATCGACTCCTGAAATAGAAATTTAATTTTTGTTCCTTAAAAAGCCCATTGTCATTTCAGATAGCATAGGAGAAAGGTGTGCTACAGTAAGATATTGGCCCAGATCAGATGAGTGAGGGCTGTGTGTCTCTGTTTGCATATATTTCAATGATAGGAGTCAGGAAGAAGCAACACCGGTCAGCCAATATCTGGATATATCCAAGATGATTAGAAAAGGGTTTAGCACAAGTCATTCTGAGCCTTAAACTGCTTTGCGGTGGGTGTTCGCCTTACACAAAAGAACTTTGGGGGACTCAGGGACTGGTATCCTGACTATGAACATTTCAACAATTATATATGGGATAAAAATCCACATGCTTCAGGGCATAAACCTAAACCTAACTGATAGATAGGAAGAAACTCCCTCTATGGTAGGTTATTCCACAATTGTCCATTCCAAGCAGAGCTGAATGAAATATTTTCAGCGAACAGTTTATTTGCTGAAAAATGCATTTTTCAGTCAAATGAAAGCATTCATGAATTCGGGTCAAATTCAGTGAATTAAAATGAAATAAAGAATTAGCAAAAGTCAAAATGGTTTGCTTCGACATTTTCAAAATGAAACGTTTCAAGTTTTCATTTTGAAATTACCTTTCCTTTCAAAATCAAGCTAGATTTGTTACAAACATACATTTGGGGGGGGGTTAATAAAACCACCCAGAAACAAAATGAAAAGAAAAAACGGATTTTTTTTTCAGTTTCCGTTGAGCAAGAAAGAACTAACAATTCAGCTTCAGTTTGACTTGAAACAATTCTTTTCTGATTTTTTTTCTTTTTTGGTTCTGCCACCAAACTGAAAAATATTCATTCCGCTCTAGTTACAAGAATACTTGCACCTTCCCCTGAAGTTGGCTGCAACTGGTTCCTGTCAGAGAAAGGATATTGCACTTGGTGGACAATGGATCTGACCTAGTATTCCTGTTTCTCTAGCCCTTTAACTTTTAACATGGTTGAGTATTTAAGATGTTCAAGCCCAAGACTGAAAGAGCTGTCCACAGCTTCTACAAATTGATTTATTTTCTATTGATAGATCAGCTGTCTGACACTTTGGCCAGAAACTGGTTTTTTTTTTTATTTATTTGGGTCTCGCATCAAACTTTTTTATTGCGTTTCACTTGTTTTAACAGCAGCATGAGTTTTGGAGATGATTTGAAAAGCTTTGATTCTTCTCTTTCTTCACAAAAGTATCAGAGACCTGGCTGTGAGGTCACACTGCAACTCACAGAGTGCACAACCCGTTCCAACCAGTAGAGCTCTGCTGGATTGGGCTCTCTGTAGGCAGAGGCTGGATGGGTTGGGGGGTGGAAATCTACCCTCCCAAGTTGGTGCCAATGAGCAGGGCTACTATGTTGGGGACTGGAATAGTAGCTGCTGACCCTCTGATCATGATCATTTCCCTGGACCCAGTTGTAGCTTTCTACACAGACTTATACAGGGCCAGAGATCCTTGCACAGCATGTAGATTTTCAGCAGGCATCCCAGTGCAGTCAATCCACTCTCCATTGTACCATTCCTGTTCAGAGCTTAGGTGATTCAGAGGGCTTTGTGCTGGCCCTCTGTGCCAGGTGTGAATTTAACCCAGTATCCAGGTGATTCAGCAAATTGTCCTATTTTTACTATAATCTACGCTAATAATAATAGTGCCCTCAAAGCACTTTACAAAAATAAGTATATTTCTTATCCTCATTTTACAGATGGGGAAAACTACAATGCACAGAACTTAAAGGATTTGCCCAAAATCACACAGCAATTCAGTGGTTGAGTAGGATCCAGGTCTCTTGATTTCATATCCCCTGCTCTAACAAGTAGGCCAAGCTGTTTCTCATAAATAACATTCAGTTTACAGTATATTATGCCATCAGGTCATTTTTATATTGTCTCCTGAGTAGCGTAGGTGAAAGAACTACTCACATTTCCTAGACGTTTGCTACTTGCCCAATATTACAGCAACAGCTGATGTTATGGTCCCTTGAAACCTGAATCCCAGAGCATATTCAGCTCCCTTCCTGCCTGAGCTAATAGCTGCAGTAGTACATCAAAGAGAGTGGGATTTGTTCAGTCTGTATGAGAGAAAACCCAGCACAGAAGATCATTTGTTAATGGCAAATCAGGACAGCAGAAAATAGAACCTGGAAAGAAAATTCCGGAAGGTTTTAGGATTTTTTTAACAGGCTGAACAGGTTAATATGCTGGCCTATATTTCAGATTAAATTTCTATTTAGAGCACTGACTAAAGCCCTTTGTTTTTGTTGTAACAGTCATTCTAATTAAGAGGTCACCTCAAAGTAGTGAAAAGAACACAAGACAGTAAATATCTTTTGCTAAAACAATTACTGCTGCATCCCATCATACAGTCTACTGCTCTGCTAATAATTGTTCTCCTAATTTACTTTGAGCTTACTGAAGTCAATGTGAGGATTGCTACTGACTTAAATTGACTAGAGAAGGGCTCATACTATTCATTTATGTGTATTGATGTAACCAAAAAAAAAAAACCACGTCTTCTCAAGGAAGCTAATAATTTCAACGTCTGATAGGTCACTCTTATTTCAGAGTCATAGAAACCTGAACAATGGCCAGTTTTCCTTATAGGGTTTTTAGCATGTTCAGGTAGATCAAGTCTCTGTAATCTAATGTAACCAACCCTTCAGCTGTCTCTCTATGCAAATAACTGGTGTTCCACAAGCTAGTCATTCAAGAGAGCTGAAAGATGCTCTTGCCCATACATCCCTACAGGAGCTGACCATGATGCCTCCTGAACACCGTCAGACCAAGCTGGAGCACAAAGCAAAATGCTCCTCTCAAGATATGAACTCAGACACCCATTTGGGAGAGACGTGTGACACCACCAGCAGACGATCAATCCAGCTTTTGTGTTCATTTTTGTAAAATACTGTATATAATTGATTATTTTGCACTTCATTGCAGATTCACCCAAGAACCTAATAGCATCTCCTGGATGAGGGAACCACTGATTTACAGAGGACAACATATTAAAAATTTAAACCATCTTCAAGCATTGACAAGCCAAATGGATTTCTTATTTGCACTTTGACTGTTGACCAGATAATAACAGTGGCTTTACTGTGTGAAATAAAATATTCTATGGAAATAACACCCCAGATTTTTGACAACAAAAAAGAAAAATGGTTCTTTGGTAAAGTTTTCGTGATTATGAAGAATGAACAACAGTCTTATAAGTTTGGATCTACAATTTACTTTATACCATTTAAAAGTATATATATATAAATATATATGATATTTTGAAATAAAGCCTCACTCTTCAAGACATTAAATAGTACCACACTTTGCTGCAACTGCTGTAATACTTTTTTTTAATGATCTGGAAGACACCTACCAGTTTCAGAGCAGTCAAAAGGGAGAGCGAACCCACGGCAGCACCAGGACACCTGGAGCTATAAGAATCGTGACGATGCTGTGTCAACAGCTTCCTTTTTCTTTCAACAGAGTATTGGAGAGAATTACATTATTCCATTTTCTTGTGTTCTGGAGGCTTTTTCCCCCTTGTGCAATACTAGCATGCTGGCTTTACTTACATAACTATACTTTATACTTAACAATGATGAGTCTATCCTCTTCCAGGAAAATATTTTTAGAGCTATTAGATATTCCATGAGGAAGAGAAGGACAACTCTCGAATAAAATACAGTATGTATTAAGAGTTTATTTGGCAGAGTTTGGTAGACTGCGGGCTGCCTTCTTATTAAAGGTGTACGTACAAACAACATCTTCAGACTTTGTATAGGTGGCATAGACTCCAGTAAAAATGTGATTGCTAACTCCAAAGTTTTTTGCATTGTTTACTCGAGAATACAAAAACGGATTTTGTTTCTTAACGTTTGATTAAGATGAGTTGGGATTTGCACAAGGTTTGCTTCTTGCTAGCATGTCTGGGTTGCTGCTGTCTTAGTCCTTCCTATAGACAAACTTGCACTGTTTAATTAAACTGGTTTACTTAAACCGATGAAACCCCCCTGTGTGGACCCTCTTATTTCAGTTTGAGTGGCTTATTTTGATTTAGCTTAAAACTAATTGACTTAAGCTCAGCTGATATAGGACACTCTTAAAACAAAATAAGAGTTACATGCAGGGGTTTGTACCAGTTTAACGAAATCAGTTCAAATTAACACCTTTATTTAAAGGAGTGCAGCTCTCTGTGTCGGAAAGCTCTTAGAATGATTATGGCAGAAGTAGAACCTCAGGGCCGGAATGTGCAAACCTAATTTATGTTTGTGAATATTTACTCACATGAGTAGTCCCTTTAGTGGGAGTACTCATGCGAAAAAGTGCTTGCCAGCGTGCATGAAGGCTACACAGTCTAGCCTTGGGTATTTGTAAATTGAAGAGGTGTATGGAAGTGCAGAAGGTATTTTATCCAGTCCCATTTTCTCTTCTTTAATATTTTCAATTTCCTTTCACCCTAGTTACCTGTCTCTCCCAAGACCGCCTTCACCCAGACTAATCAGTTTTAATCCAGTGCATAGTAACAGCTGAGCTCGCTGACCCAAAGTCAGTCAAAATTATCCCACCAGCTTTCTTCCTCCTCTAGGGCAACCACTTCAGCACCTGATATTTCAGGAGGTGGAAATTTGTCACTGTAATTACAGTGTATGTTAAACCAGAAGTGCCAAGTGTCACATCAGATTCCACATGGACTTTATATGCTGGTAACTGGAGTGTTGATCCTCAATATAAAAATGGATTATTGCTTCATAAGAAATAGTTTACCACTCTCCCCTTTTGAATAGATATTTGGTCAGTTTCTGTAAGATCAAAACATGTCTGAATATATTTTTTCTTGGGTGTATTTTGAGATCAGAATCAGGCCATAAAACGTAATGCTGGTTTCTTTCAACAGTCTTCCTCCCCTTCCCCACCCTCCACTCCCACTCCCCGCCCATCTTACTTTTTGTCCAACAAATACCTTTCTCCATCCAGGGCCGGCTCCAGGCACCAGTGAAGGAAGCAAGTGCCTGGGGCGGCCAATAGAAAGGGGCGGCATGCCGTCCGTTGTTGGGGCGGCACCTCTGGGTCTGCAGCGGCAATTCAGCAGCGGGTCCTTCAGTGCCTCGCTTCCTCTTCGGCGGCACTTCGGCAGCAGCTCAATCGCTCCGCTCATTCGGGAGTTGGAGCCGGCCCTGTCTCCGTCACTCTTGTCAATAGCTCAATCAAACTCCTATTAAAATCAAACAGAACTTGTCATCATAAGAACTGAGGTCTTGTCTACACAAGGGACAGATTAACTAACAGTGTGAATTAAAAGTGGATTGGTTAAATTGAATTAAACCCCTGTGTGGACACTCTCATTCAGAATTAAAGTGGCCTTACTCGATCTAATTTAATTCACTTTGAAACTGAATTAAAGTAAACTGTATTGAGGTCACTTTAATTCTCAATGAGAGTATCCATACAGGGGGTTAATGCAGTTTAATTAATCCACTATTAATTCACACACTTCGTTAATTCAGACTAACTTTCTTGAGTGTCCCCATGTAGACAAGCCCACGGGTAAACCCCAAGCAAAGACATCTGGATTTGGCCCTTAGGAGGACATCCACTCTCCACTTCCATGTCCCTGGAGATTCCCCCGGGTAGTGGAACAGATGTGGCTCAGCTATGCGTGGGAGAGTCTAGATAGCGGCATGAGTGTCTTGCACCAGATGTGCTCCCACTGCACAGCACATAGACCAGCTGTGCTGTGAGTTCTCGTGTGGCAGTGCCCAGTGATCAGGGAGCCTGGGCAGGTCCAGTAATCTTCTGGTCCTCTGCCTGTCGGCACTGCAGAGGTCTAGATCAGTCAATAAAATGAAGTAGCCTAGTGGAGTGGCTCTGTGGATGCTCCAGGCCATGGTTAGGAATTTCTTCCCCCCCCCCCCCTTCTCCCATTCTCTTTGCAGAGAGACCCACCTCACAGTCGCACCTTCAGGCTGGGTAGTGGTCCCTGGGTTTAGACCTCAGGAAATCAACTGGTAAGAGTGCTGCCGTGAGCTGAATGAGTGGGCCTGATTCTGGTCTCAGTTACAATAGTGTAAGTGAAGAGCAACACCACTGAAGTAAACCATCATTGCTATTTATTTGTATTATGGTCACACCTTAAAGCCCCCAGCTGAGATCTTTATGCGAGGCACTGTACACCCACATGATAAGATACCATCCCTGCTCTCAGAGAGCTTCCAGTCCAAGTAGAAGAGGCAGGCAAAGTGTGGGAGACAGAGAAAGCCCTATTTTGCACATGACGAATGGAGGCACAGAGCGATTAAGTGTCTGCCCAAGTTCACACATCAGTTGGAGAGACGGGAATTGAACTCAGATCTCCTTAGTCTCAGAGTAGTGCCTTAACCACAAGACATCTTTTTCGCAGATGCAACTCAGATTAGAATCTGACCCCTTTAGCTTGTCTCCCAAACTCAAAGTCCAAGTGAGAGATACTTGCCATCTTTTGTCTCATGTGACCTGAACTCTGATTGATCATGTCAAGGTAACTGTAATGCTTGGTTCAGACGTGGATTGCTGTTTTGTGGGGCCCTGGGCCAGAGCAAGTGGGGACCCCTCCCCACCTCTTCCGCCTCCAGTCACCTCCCTCCCCCCTCCTCCTCCGGCGCTCCTGCCGGGGAGCGGGGTTGGAGCACGGGGGCAGAGTGGGGCAAGCCCCTGCACCCAGATCCTGCTCCCTGGCAGGCGTGGGTTGGGGCATAGGGGCACCCATTTTTCCAGGGCCCCCCTATTGGCCGGGGGCCCTGGGCACAGGCTCTGTTGGCCCAGTGGCTAATCTGCCACTGGCTTGGGTCAGCAAAATTTTGCTTATTGAAGGATGAAAATACAAAGCCTGCTAAAATTATAAATAAGGAAATATTGTTTATAAGAAACAAAGTTTCTTGGGCATGCTCATGATTTTGTTTTTGCCAATATGCAGCATCAAATATCACCCCACCAAATTCAGTAAACATCTGCAATTCTTTGAAGTTATTGCAAACTCTGCATCTCACATGCAGTATTGAGAAATTTCTATTTCAGTTCAAACGATTAGGAAAAAAATGAGACCATGACCATAAAAACATAACAACCATAATGGGTTAGACCAAAGGTCCAAAATAATGACTAACAAAATGGAAAGTCAAATTAGGATGCAGGCAACCTTCATTTTTTCAATGTACCCTCCCGAACAAAAAATTCCTACCAGCCTAGTGGCACAATGATTGCATATTTCAGTGATATACAGGACAAAGCCTTGTATATTGGAAAAGTCTTGGAGTTCCTTTCTTCCTTGGCTGATGGAATATTGGTTTTTTGAGGGCATGGTTCTCTGGATCCTCATGAGAGGGCATGAGTCATGCCGTTCTTTGCACATCCATAAAGGAGTATTGACCTCATCCTAAGAGGAAGCTAAAGTTCCTGCTTTCTGGCATAGGTCCAAACACAGTGATGCCAGTGGGAGGGAAATGAAATATTTGTAAATGTACTGGAGATCAATTTTGACTTATGTCAGCATTTCTTCTTCAGATATGTGAAACATGAAGCTGTTGTTTAAATCTAATGTGTACAAGTTGGAAAAACATTTAAAATATGGTTGCTACCATCTGCCTATTGATTCAGATAATTTAAATGATGTACTTTTTATCCAAAATCTCTGGTAATAAAGAGCTCAGTGTGGTATGATTTTAATATTGCTTTCAGAATGCTATATACGGTATGTCGATACACTTGGAATACAGGAGGTGGGGGGAGGAAATCAGGGGCCAACATTATGACCTCAAATTATAAATGTGTTAGTAGGAGATGCAAAACCTGCCTTAGACAGGGAGATGCCTATGTAAAAATGTTCAGAGTAAAAAAATGTACAGGTATTGCTGCTTTGTGTTATCAGAAAATATTGATTGACCATTAATGGACTTTACAGGTATATTCAGAAGCTTATTACTTAGTATCTTTTCCTATTATAAAATTATTAGCAACGTTTCTAACTGTCGTAACTGGACACACATTATACTTCATATGATAACTTTTCAGAGCAAAATAGTAATTTTCTGGTATACTGTTTTGTCAACATATAGTTATAATTGATATATACGTTATGGAGGGTATAACCATGGTTTGCACTGGAAAGTATATTAATCATAACATAAAGCTGACAGATTTTTTTCTTAAACGGATAGAATGAATACGATGTCACAATATGAGTTTTTATTTTATTAATGCCTCTGTCACATTCCATCAAGCAGGGTTTAGAGCTTGCCTGAGAGAAATGTGCTTTGCTCCTTTATTTGGTATTCTACGTATCTTTATCAGATGCATCAGAGATCAAATTAGAATTGTGTGCAGGAATAATTCTCAAATAGACCAAACACTACAGCTGTGCAGGAAAGTTGATTTAAGTCTTTAGCTCTGTGGTCAGAAGTCCACCTACCTGTGATCAGTTAGAATCCAGATTGTAGGCCTGATTTGGCTCTCATATATGTATAGACACTCCCCAATGGTGCTCATCACCTTGATATTGGAACATCCCACAAATATTAATGAATTTATATTAACAACACCCCTGTGAGGTACTGAGGTATTATTATCCTGTTTTGCCGATGGTGAACTCCAGGCACAGAGAGAGCCAAGACCACAAAGAGAGTCTAGGGCAGAGCCGGAAATGGAACCCATACTCTCAAGTCCTATCCCAGTGCCTTCTATTTGTTCACATCAGCGTAATTCCATTGACACCTGATTTTCCATTGACTGTGCTGATTTTCACTTATGTAATGAAGAGCCGAATCAGGCCCATTAGCTGTAAGAT